CTGAGGCCGAAGCCCTCCGTTACGGAGACATTCTTTCGTCTCAAGTCTGGTCTCTGACACACATCTGACATATCGATCTTGGATCAGTATGTTGCTCTGGTGACTGATTCCTGGATCAGTCACATGTCTGGCATTGGAGTGACATCAAGAATCATGTTTGAGTTTCGATTTCTCACATCAATTACTGTGTGCAAAGATCCGTCTGCTTTGCAGATGCACAGTAGCAGGCACGCTTGCTTGCTGCTTGCAGGATACCACCATCCTGCTTTTACATTGTTCAGGTCCTTTAATGGGATCCCATGGTTAACCTCCCTCAGGGGAGGCATCTCTAATGGCGCTGGTGCCATTACAGTTTCAAACTTTTCTCTCCACCATTCCCTGAGTATTTCAAACTCGGGGTTAGTCATGGAGAGTCCTTCCAGATGTGGTACATCTGGAAATTCTAGTCCTTCTGGACTAGGATTGGGCCAACCTTCAGGGTGGCTCTATTGGATTACCCTGTGTGTTTCTTTCTCGCCTCCCAGTCAGGGAGGCTTTTTTCTTGGCAGTTCTTGAGTCCTTGCTTGAGTTTTCCACCCATGTGATCTCGTCACATGGTCTTCTCCAACTCCAAGGGTGTCTATGTTGCCCTTGGATGCCATTCTCACTTTGTGAGATCAGAAGTCTAAGTTTACCTGGTTTTTATTCAACCAGGGGGCACCAAATATGGTGTCATATCTGTTGATGTTGATAACATTGAAGTAATGTTTTTCAACGTGGTCATTGATCTCGATGCCCATGTTCATTCCAAACAAGATTTTTGATCTTGTTCCTTTTGTCCCCATGTGGAGGATGACTGGATTCTCCAACTGGAGAATTGGGATGTGGACCACACGGACGAAATCCAGCGATATTGCATCAGTTTTGGCCCCACTGTCAAACAGCATGTAGGCTTTTATGCCTGCTATTTTGACGTGGGCTGTCAACATTCTCTTAGTAGAGAGCAGTCTGTTTGTGGGAAATTTCCCCATGTCTTTTGAGATGCAAAATTTCACATCAAATAAGGGGGTTTGGGTTTCATCGGACTTTTGGTCCTTCTTCCCTTTCCTCTTGTTCTTCTTGGGTTCCTTGGTGTAGGTTCCCAAGGCATCCTTCTTTGGTGTTTCCACCAAAGCCTCTATGACTTTCTTCTAACTGGCATGTTACTGCCAGTTTGACTCCATAGTTGGTATCATCATGGTCAACGACTGACATTGGGCCCATTCTTATGGTCCCAATGTTGACTTCCTCACCCTCTGAATCAGGTGAGTATTGAGGTCCCTTGTATGGGTCCTCAACTTTGAAGCTTGATGCTTCAGAGTCACCAGAGTTATTCTCTGGTTTATCTTCCAATGAGTCCTCCAACTCTTCTTCTGATAAATGGGCAACTTCCATGGCAGCTATGCACCTTGGTTTCTCATTGCTTATTGCATGATGTTTAGGGCAATCTTTTGTTTGCCCTAATTTGCTGCACTTGCTGCAAATTGAAACTGATTTTTGGTCAGTTTTCCTGAAATATTTTGAGGATGAATCTTCTTTCCATCTGGGTTTGGGCTCCTCAGCCCTGTTCCCTGATGGGGGGGTTCTACCATGGCTTGTGGTTGCCATGGTGGTTGTTTGGGTGTAATAACCCGATTTTTATGCTGAAGACATCTTCAGCCCATCAATTATCTCGTCCACATGAGACATTGCTCTTATCATCTCCTCATTTGAGGAGAAGTCCACTCTGATTCTATCATGAGCGATCATTTCCCTCTTCCATTCAAGGGGAATGTTGTTTAGGAACCTGGCATTGAAGGATGCCTGGTCTGACAGCATCACCATTTGGGATGCTGCTTTTGACAGTTCTAAATAGAACTGTTTTAAACCTTTGCCTGCCTTGTATTTTACGTTGCGGTACTTCTTGTTGCATTTAACATGGCAGATGCTTTTATAAAAGTTCTCATCAGTATGTTGAGAACTTTGAGGAACATGCCCTCATCTCCTCTGAGGAGAGTTTCATCTTGGAGTCTGATTCCGAGGTCAAATGCAGGTCCCCCTAGTCTGTGAATTAAGCAGTCCAAATGGACTTCGTTGAACTGAGGGCCTTTGCATCATTGTGAGGCAAGGAATCCCAGTAGTTCTGTGAACCACTGCCAGAATGACTCCATGTCGTTCTCCCCTGACCATTTCTTGTCAGGGAAAGCCAGGCCATTCTTCAGAGCCTCCAGCTTTACTCCCTCTGGGTATGGAGTGAGTATTCTTACTTCAGCCATTATGGCCTTTTCATACCATTTTTCCAGGTACTCCTCTTGTTCCCCTGCCTTAGCAGGGTCACTGTCCAATGGAGATTTCTCCTTTGGAGGGTTTTTCACTGGGAGAGACTGTTCTCTCAGCGGTTCTTTTGTTTCAGGTGGTTGCACCCAAGGCTGGATAGGAATTCTCTCATTCTTTTGAGAGAGCAAGTTGTTGCCTCTCTGTTCAAGAGGTTCTTCATTTGGCCAAACCTTTGGTACATGCCGATCCTTCTCCTGATTTCTTAACAATGCCTCCTTTCAACATCATCTTCTCCTATCTTTGGGAGAAGGACTTCTTTAGCGTCTCTGTCGAGTCACTGGTGGTAATCCAGTGTACTTTCACTGGTTGTTCTTTTCGTGAATTTTTCACGAGTTTTAGTTTTTTCCTGGCCTGTGGCCCAGGGATATTTTTTTGTTTCCTCACTATTTTGTGAGAGATTTATTTCTTTCAGCAAGTCAGTTTGCTCGCTGATTTTGTTGGTCAACGCATCAATCACATTGGCCATTCTTTCTAGAGTTATCTCTAGACGAGCTGTACTATTGTGGCTTGTTTCCTCAATCTTTTTTTGGATCTAGTTTATCATGTTTATTATGCACAATTCCTGGTTATCCAGGAGGAAATTAGGCTGGGCAAGCAGTGACTCTCCCCAGTTCATGTTGCCGCTTCTGGGGGTTCCAGAAGGGGTTCTTGGAGTGTAAACTTCACACTCACTTTGTCTGGGTGAGGGGGTCAAGGGGGGCGCTTCCTTTTCATGGAAGAGTCTACTTGCTGATTTTTCCTTACTTTTTCATAAGGCTTCCTCAGCAAATGCTCTCATTTCAGTTCACCTTCTCCTCATAATCTTGGAGACCTCCTCCGAGGTTGGCAACCTTGCCTTGTCTGGCATGGCATGGGGTTGTGCAGGCAGCGGAAGTTCTATTTGAGCTTCCACACTCTGAGGGATCCTGCTCTGAGGGTGTTCCTTTGCGCTTTCTCAGGCCTTCAGCCTGAGAAAGAGTTGTTCTTCATCTCCCATCCTCCATTCATATGGGACCTGGAACAAGTCCAGTAGTTTGTTGGACAGCCGACATGGAGGTTCTTCCCTCTGTTTCCCTTTGTCTGCCTTTGGGGCTTGGCTTGGGGAGATGGGGGAAGACTCCAGGGGATAGTGGGGCCCTGGAGTTTCCTGTGTCTTAGTCCAATCAGCTCTTTGGGCTGATTTTTTGGCACTTATGCATTCATCGTGTAAGTCGATCACCTCTTCTGGAGGTGATGAATCTTCCCCAATGTGGGTAAGATTTGTGTAACATGGAGTTCTAGGGGTATTGGGCCCTGCACTTACTCCACATAAGTTTTTTGAACCCTCAGGGGCCAGCCCTGAAGTGGTTGCTTTTTGAGGATTGCGTTGATCCTCATCATCGTCTGACAACGACTTTTGTTGTGAATCTCCCATGATGGGAGATTGCAGTTTCTTTATGAACCACTCGTTCTTTTTTATCATCGCTGCAGAGGCAACCTTGCCCTTGCAGGCATGTTTTGGCGCCATAGGCGCTACCGAGTCAGAATGTTAAAGATGTAGTACAGTAATAACCCAGTCAATGCACATGCACTTTTGACTCATGTTCCCATGGTCCTCACACACCAATGACAGCAGCAATGGGTACTATTATTGGGGATAATGTGTAATAGGAGTCACTTAAATAATCGCAAAAAATGGAGATCAAGGGTGTCATATCCCAGAATCCTGACCCCGTACTCTCCCACCTCACTACACCTTCCTAACAACCTCATCATCCCCTACACCATACCTCCCCACTTCCCAACGTCACCTCCCTTCCCAACTGTCTCAGCTCCAGCCTGGACTTCAGCACACTCTCCCTTGGCCATCTCCATCCCGGAAGCTCGGTCCCGAGTCAGAACATTTGGAACCTCTGGATTTGCTCAGACCTCCTGACAGATCTCTGACATCTTGTTACATACCCCTAAACCATTCCCCCTCCCATTTCATTTAGTGGAGTCACCCAACATCCTTCAGATATGTAACTCTGGCTTCAGAGCTACCCGCATCCTCCGGTGATCCTGCTCTTGTCATCTTAAATTAGTCACCTCCCATTTGTAGTACGACTGTTGTCTTCTTTCCATTCAGTCAGCTAACTTCCCCTTACCCATTTCTCGTTCCCATTTATCCCCTGGCCTTCTACTCCGCCCTCCTCGACCCAACACCTCAGTTCCCCATTAAAGATATCGTTCAGAACCTTTTGGTACCTTTTGGTGTCTGTCGGTATCACTCGGACTTTGACTAAAGTCCTTCTCCTCCTCCCTCTATATATACCTGTAGATTAGAACCCATTGTACCTCAGTTCTAATCTCGACTAAAACTTACCCCAAGTCCCCCTATGAGTGAAACCTGACCCCCTCCTACAAGATACCTCAGACATATGAAATGAAGGACTAACTGAGACATAACAGAGGCACAGCGCTCCCTCCGAGTTGCTGAGGCCGCATCCTTCTTAGAGCCTCTTGTACCACCCAGCAGACTTGGGCTTCCTGGAGAAGCTCCAGTTCACTACCGGAGATCTCAGAACCCCTCTAGTTGAGCCCTGTCTGCACTCGGACTTACATCGTTCAGGGTTTTTGACAAAGGGATTGAAAGTGAAGGGCAGAGTCAGAATCTTTGACATGGCGCATTTCATATTGGAAAATGCATTCCCGCCCAATGCAATGTGCTACTCATCCTTCTCCTCTGAACTGTCTCCATCCTCACCTGAGCTCCCCAAGCACTCAGAATCACCAACATTATCCTCTTTGGCCTGCTCCTCCAATTCAGGCTTTGTTACTAATGCCCAAACCTCTGCATGCATAGCAACATGTGGCTTTTGTGGAGGTTTCTCACCCTGGTTGCAGTGCGCTTCCTTCATCACCTCCCAATTCTCCAGCAGCACCTCATTGTCCAGCCCAGCTGCCTCCCATGCTCCAGCCCTCAGTTTCCTGAGCTCTGCAATCTCTCCTACGAGTTTCTTCTGAGTCTCTCTTTGTGTTCTCCTTAATGCAGCTTCATCAGCCTTCACCTGTCACAGCACTTCTGCCCTTTCAATCAAATCCAACATCTCATCCTCTGTCAACACAACAGCTTTCCCAGTCTGCAGTCGGCACCTATCCTTCTTGCACTTTTTCTCCTTCTCTGCATGTTGCTTGAGGAACTGCTCCAGGAATGATGCCAACAGTAGGATCTGTGTATTGGCTGCATGTCAGAGCACAGAAAAAAGGGAATGAGCATGTCTGGACCTTTCCCCAGAAGGGAGGCCAGAGGTAGAGGATGAGCGGAGGGACCGTGGCCTCAGCAACTCGGAGGGGAGCGCTGTGCCAACGTTTGATTATGCTATTGTTGGGTCCTTAACTTCAGAATGGGAGGGTGCAAACTCTGGGGGGATCTAGTCATCGATTTTGCACTGAAGTGCCATCAACTACGGTACATGACCTATATACATAATACAGGACAAATATGAGAAGAAAGGGAAAACTCAAGATAGACTTACCCACTTGCCGGGTTGGCAAGCTTGTGAGAGAATCGCCTTATCAAGCACTGTGGAGTGGGTAAGTGAAGGGTGGGATTAGCGACAGCTATTGGGTAATGGGAAAACCTTTGCAGGGTTGGTGGAGGTCCTAGGAGGTCCGTAGTAATGTTGGGTAGATAGAAATATTAATAATCTTCTATGATGAGGATATGGGGTACTGGAGGAGGTACTGGAGATCGGAGGCAGAGGTGGACTGGAAATATACCAGAGGATATGGCGGAGGTGAGGGAGAGGACAATGTAACCGGGCACAAGAGCTGCCCAGACAAATAGTAGGGACCTGGGGGTAGTGTCTGAATCGGGTCAGAAGGAGGGAAAGGATGGTTGGTGGTGACAGTGCCAATACTGCACCATGGTCTGGGTGCTAGAAAACAATCAACAAAATCTCACTAAATCAGTACTCACTCCTGGTCCTTCTTGGACAGTCGTCAGGAGTCAGAGATACTGTATAAACTCGTACGTCGCCCTCTGGCATCACTAAACTTATCAAACAACTTGTTACTTGGTGGGGGTGTCCCTTCTCATCGGGGGAGTCCTCTGTACCATACATGAAAATGTGTGCTATAAGTGAGAAATTGCAGGGCAAAGGGGAAGAATAGAAATATGCCTCTATGGCGACACAGAATAGCAAATAAAGTGATGGAAAAAAAATACAAATAAAAGCAATGAAAACAATATCAGAAACAATAAAATGAATGATGGAAATAGTATCCCTCCTAATTGAGCATCCAACAACCTTTTCCCGCCGCCCGAATGGACTCTCCTGTCTCGTAGCTTTCCAACGGTACTAATTTCATCCAAATCCACCCAGTGGTTCTTGAGATATGCCTGGAATTGGGTGGCCGCTAGATTGACAGGCGTGGGAATCTTGACTCTAGGGCTGGAAATGCATTGGAAAAATTGGGAAAAATTGGGGAAAATGGGGAAATGGTATAAAGGGTATCTGGGACCGTGTATGAAGTGCCTCGGGTACGGGGTGTTCATCAGGGTGTTAGAATCACGATTTCTGGACTTGTTTGTATGGTAGTGGAGATTCCTGCCTACAACGAACTGGAAGTGAACCAGAATGGTGGCGGAGTAGGTTGGAGGTTGGGCAGAGTTGGTATGGATATGACACTGCATCAAATCCATCTTGCATCTCCTTGTAAACATTGGCTAATGCATTGTCCAATGCATTTACGTCCTCTCTTAGTACTTCATTCTCGATGTGGAGTTGATTAGCTTGGGTTACCACAGGTGGTGCTGGCAGTGTGTTGCAGAGGGAGCCCTCTTGAGTGGTGCATGCTTTTGATAAATTGGGGGTAGCAATGTTATATTTGATGGTAGATGACTAGGACGCAGATGAGCGAGATAGAGACTCGCAGAATACATCCTCAGCAGATGAGGGAGGAAGGAAAGGTGAGAGTAAATTTGGGTCTATTGTCGGTATCTGACAATGTTCTCTGGGAGTTCTAGGTGCCTGATAAGGAGAATAGCATGTTATCTGAGATGTTTGGGGGGTTTTGGGTCCCTGTGACAGCTCCTTGGAGTGTGAGTCCAGTTGAGCTGATGACTGCATCTCATGTTGCCTATGCTGCCGGTAGTCTGCCTCACACTCATGCATGGCACAGAAGAAGTTCATTCCCTTTTTAACTGGTGAGGGAAGCATCACTGGGACTGCTGAACTCGCATCAAGTGATGTCATAGTGCTTGGCCACATCATTTCAGGAGTCACAACATCCTGATTGAGCGGCCAAATTCCAGATTTCTGAAATGCCTTGAGTATGTTCTCCTTGGTAAAGGCTTTAAGGTGAGCAGTCCCGTAGATTTCAAGGAAGTTCTCTTTTGTAACTGTGTCACCAGAAAACTTGTGGCTCTGTACTGCCTGTGACCACACGCTCTTCAGAGGGGAAAACATTACAACATCAAGCGGCTGAAGGGCATGTGTGCAGTGGGATGGGAGGAGATACAATATGAAATTGTGTTCTTTACAGAAGTGTATTGCTTGGGGGCTTTCATGTGATGCGTGCCCATCCAGGATCAGGAGGCGATACTAATCAGGGGTATCAAGTTTGTAACTGGTTTCAGAATGGAAGATTTTGATTGCTTGATCAGATATTTCAGTGTTTACCCAACCCTTTTCCGAGAATGCATATCTAAGAAAGTGTGTTAGACAGTGAGCTTGCTGGTTGCCTAGAATGTGACCCACTTTGCATTTAGAAGATTCACTTGCTTCCACCTTTGTAGAAATGCCTTCCCAGGAAATATAACAACAGGCTGAAGAGCAGTTCCATCGGCACAGATGAATTCTAGCACAGTAATGTGCTCTTTGCTTGCACTGGAGATGGCACTGTAAGCGGGCTAACCCAGCAGGCAAACAGGAAAGGACAGGGAAAAAGTGGTAATGGTAATGGTGATAATGGTCCGGTGCGGTGTGTGGTGTACTCTAATCAATCTCTCACCCCACCTCTCTGGGTGACACTAAAGCAAGGACTGATCTAGAGGTCTTCTTACTGATCTTCTTGGTCATACTACTCCCTACTAGCTTGGGAGGGGCAATCTTGGTGGTTTCTAATCCAAGGGGAAAGGTAGTGTAAGGCATGGGTGGTGGAGTGGTGGTGTGTGCTTTGCATGCTTACTTTATTTGTTCTTTATTCTTTGTATACTATGTAAACAACTGTATTTACATATGTATGGCTTGGGCTCAGGTAAAGGGTTCTTCACTCTTTACCCTCAACCCGAAGTCGAATGATAGGCTCCATACAGCCGAGATCTCGACTACTGAGGACTGAGTCAACCCAGGCCAGCACCCCAACTGGCCTTACAAGTAGATACATCCTCATGTACAGTATATATGAGAAATGATCAGGGAAAAATGATAGAAAATATGCGATGTGCCCCATGTGCTTAGGTGGGTCATATCGGCAACAATCAATATTGGAAAAAGAAGGGAAAACAATAATCAAGAAAACAATAAAGCAATAAATGGTATCTGACCAAAAATATCCAACTCTATCCATCGCCAATGAACTCCCACTAATCATGTATCCTAATACTCCTAAATAGCGTGTTTCCAACGGTACCAATATCGTCCAAATCGGTACAGTGGTTGCTGAGATAAGTGAAATCCAGTCTGAGTGTGGCTGTGCTGCTGGGTGGGCGTGGGAATTTGGTCTGTGGGGACTGGGAATGTGTCTGGAAAAATCGGGAAAAATCATGGAAGGGTAGAAATAGTATATGAAGACATGTATGATGTGTTTTGTGAAGTGGGGATGTGCTGGGATGGGGAAATCGCAATATTCGGTTTGTTTGTGCAGTACCAGCTGTGCCTGCCTACAGCACAGCCCTGTCCGGAAGTTGCCGATACCACCACTTTTTGTCAAAGTGGGACATTCAAGGGACATCCAGTCTCATCACAGTTGTAGATATTTCTTGGGTGGATCCCATAGCTCTGGATTGTCTTGGAAAGAAGATCAAAGTGGTGTCGCACATTTTCAGGATTTAATGCTGATGCACGGGTTTTCTCAAGAAGTGCACAAGTTTTTGCACCAATTTGATCTTCAAACCTTTGAACAAACTGCTGTGCCCAGTTATGGCCAATGCACTTTATATTTTCATTGTAATCCGCACAATTGCAAGCCCATATTCAGTGATTTTTTTGTATGTGAGTGGAAACCCCCGATCACCCATTTCTTTAATGAAGTCCACAAGTTCCTGAGATTCCATAGGTGTCAGAAGACCACGTTTAGCTGCTGAAATAGGTTTGGAATCCTGGGAATGCTTGAGATGGCACCATAGGGTAGTTCTATCCACTCCAGGAAACTGAGTGGCAACCTTCCCAATGGAGGGCATTGGTGCTTCACAATGTGAAGCTTCTTCATATGCCTTAAGCCACACTTCAGTAGCTGATTTATAGAGTTGATCCCTTTCCCATGATATTTTTCGCTTCACAGCATCCTTTGAAGAAGCATGCCACCCATTTCAGCAGTTTGAGTTGCACACAAAGGAGGGAAATGGATGTGCAATTCAACCGGAAGCAACTTTGGATCCGGGTTCCTCCCGATCAGCAAACAACCACCAGTGCAGGGTTTGTAGGCCATCCAGGCATTTGAATTCTTCATAGGAGGTCCATTACCTGTTGACCTCTTTTCTAAGCCTATTTTTCATGTAGTTGTCATTGTAAAATGATGTCATATCCATACATACCCGATCCCCATCTGACTCCTGGACCCTCATCTTCATCACCTCCAGAGTCCTACCCTATCTCCATCTGCTCCAACATCCACCTTCGGACCGAACATCACTCACACCACACTCCTCCTCAATCCTCACATCACTGTCATATCCATCCCCGGCCATCGACTTCCGGTCTCCGATCCCTCCGGTCTAACTCCGCTCCTTCCTCACTAACCTCGGAGCTCCCGTATTCCGCAATCCTCTCGGTACCCCTCGATGGTCACCACCCCCTCAATTTATTACCTACGCCTCCCTAAGTACGGAGCCCCGAAGACTTCCGGACAGCTCCGACGTCCGCTAGCACACTCCCACCTCCGCTGGGCAATACACTCGCCTGCCCTGCAGAGCCCACCTTCGGGCCTAACCCTCCTTTCCGTTTCTGGGTTATCGCCTGCCTTCCCGCTAACCCCACGACCCGACTCGTCGGTAATATTCAGTTGGCTAATGTTTAAACCCCGTTAGCTCCGCTCCGTTCGGCTCCGCCAATTGCGGACCCGTCTCCGCTGTAACCATATATATATCCAACTTGTACATAGGTTACACTCCAGTAATAAAATCAACTAGAGTTACCCCCCTTCGGTTCTGATTGCCAGTCAGTAAGTTAGGGCATGGACGTGTCACTAGGCACAGCGCTCTTGGCATAAGTCGCTGAGGCCAAAGCCCTCCGCTACGGAGACTCTCCCTCGTCTCGAATCTGGTCTCTGACAGTATTTTATTACTCCCTGACTAGTACACGTCTTGTATGGCACCAAAAGTCCTTCGCACTCGTTCGCAACTATGCACATTAGTTCCCAACTCCACTTCACCTTCCCCAGAACCCTCTCAGCCTGGTCCTAGTCGATTGGCGAGAAACCCAGTTGAGTTTCGAAGCTTTTCTAACCTTGAAACCCCTCTCCCATCGACTCCGATCATGCGCCCCATTAGGAATCGATCACCAGTTGCAGACTCCGACTTCGGAGACACCACGGAACAACCCATAGATCCCGTCCACTTCTTTGGACTCGGTTCCGAGGTCCCCGACTTCGTCGATCCTCCTGCTGATCCTCCCATCCCCACTGTCCCAACCACCGACGATGCCGAACCCACCTCCAACGTATCAATGAAAGCCAGAAGGCATCAGACAGCGGCCTTGCCAAGATTGCGGTGGCGAGGGAGCCGACGCATCCTCTTGTGACTATTGGGTATCGTGCTTCACTGCTGAATGAGGGTGGCTGTGTGGCCACTCCCTTGCAGTCAGTTGGCATGCTCAGCTCATCAATTCCAGTGCGTTGGCCTGTGGTACCTCTAGGCCACTGGTATTGCCTTGTGGTAGATGAGGTTCAGGACCCGGAGTTGCTCTGGCTGGAAAAGTGCAGTGCACAAGGAGTCTACACAGCGCATCATGCGAGGAAGAGTGGGCGTTGTGAGCCACCGTCTATGGAGCTGCTCTTTAAGCATCTTGCTGATCGTGATGGAATGGCTGATAAGTTGCATTCGGAGGGAAGAGCTTGTTCATCAGATATGTATGTCGGCTCGCTCCTTAATTACACATCCACAGTGGATTTGCTATACGTGGATATGGCATTTATGTGCAAGCATGCTGATATTCCAGCTATCATCGGTACCGCACCTCCAAAGGCAAACAAGGCAAATCATCTTCACGTGTTCCTTCAATACAAAAAGTATCCCCCCCTTGTTCCCCAGTCCCCATACCAACACCCTCCCCCCAACGAAAATGATTGTATACATCCTATGCAATGCATCACGTTTTCAGCTGCCTGGCTACAATCTAGAGTGTATCAGGAGGCTTCCGATACTGAACTCCATCATTTTGAGGTTCTTGTTGGTGCCCACTCTCTCCAGAGTCAAGGTCTGTTGAAATTCTACATGCCTATGTGGCCAACGTCAGGCCCTATGGATGGTGTGATTCGCCATGTTGCATGCTGGGCTCACAAAGAGATGATGAGGAATGCTGAAGAACCACGTATCATCGAGTTGACGGAAATGCTTCAATATCACCCTAAGGGTAATAATTGGCAAATCGTGCTTGAACTGAATCTTGGTAGGCCTTGCTACATGAAGCACGTCTCCGAGCCATGGACTCATCTTATTTGATGTGGTCATTCTTCTGCCCTGTGTATTTGTGTCATTTCCGTGCTTGCATGGTCACTTTGGAGTCCACAATTACATAATGTGTTCTCTTTCCCACCATGTTTCCCTTGCATGTGTGCCTTTCCACTGCAACGTTGTAGGCGGGATAATCGCCCACGCACAGACTCGGCTCGGATACCCACTTCCACGATCAGAAAACAACTTTCATTCACGCGACGACTCGGTACAAATTTGGTATCCAAAAATAGTCCTAATTCGTACGATTCTGACGATACCAAGAATGTCCCAATCGGTGGAGATTTGACGGAGTTCCGTGTTGGAGAAGTTAGGCACAGCAGGTCACGGGCATGTGCGGGCGTGGGAATCTCAAGCGGCAACCCAGAATTCCAGCCTCACTCGTTCCCACGGCGTCTAATAAATTGGTAAAAATGCTCATTGGCTGCGTGAGAGTTATCTCCGGCTACATTTCCAATTTAGGCTCTTAATTCCGTAAATCCATTGAGAAATCGCTTATTTCCTGATATTTTCATATTTTGCCATCATTTCAGATATTGATTGATATTCTTTTATTGTTACTGTTACCCTTTTTTATTATTTCGCCTAATAAGGTATGCAGGTGCCATATGGTACCAATATTTCCCATCAATTATTCTAAAAATAATTGTTCCTTATATCCTGTACATACCGGATTTTGGAATAGAAGTTCTCCCCTCCCCCAAAATTCTCTAGGACGCGCTAGAGTTGGAGTGAGTGTGTGGAATCCAACAGTAGGAATAAGGGCAACTGTCTAGCCCACAACGAGTGGGTAGTAGATTAGTTGAGCCCGGACCTTGCGGAATCCCGGAGAACCCACCACGGAGTTTTAGGATCGAGCATAGCGAAGTCAAGAGAGAAAGTAGAGGTTTTGGAGAGTTTGGCCCCACGAGCTTAGTCGGCATAGAGAGCCGCTAGCCCTCTTTCAACGTCACGTTCCTCCTTTGTATCTTTCACGTGTACTCCTTTTTCTCTTCTCATTACAATATATACATTTTTGGCATCATGTGCAGGCAAGGTCAATGCTAGTGATGCATTGATTACATAACAAACTGTATAGTTGTTTGTTTAGCACATTGCGGTGAGTTGAGTTCCTCAAAGCCGCCATGGCCAGAATCTCATTCGTCACTAGCCTCTTACTCTATCTAAGAACACGAGGTTGAAGCTGTCTTGGTCATTCTGCTCTTTCGCAGGAGGAACGAGCTGCTCATAGAGGTTACATGTTATTGAAGCATCTGCACTCTTCTTGGTTGACGAGAAGGGTGGAGCGTTCAGTCTGCCCGTATTTCATCGAGTGAAGCAAGGTCAAATCGTTCTGGCTGGCAAGGAGGGTGGAGCACTCAACCTCAACGCGTCCCCATTTCCAAGCACAAGAAGAGCGTGTTCCCTGGATTTCTTATTAAGACCCATCATATAGACAATACCTCTTAATGTACATTGACCAAAATGCCAAGTGTGGTACCTCAATTGATTATGTTTTCCACAGAATCCTTTAATTATGAGCTCCGACAGTCCCCCAAAACGACCAAAACAAGCACCCATGCTTTGCGAACAAAGTGGCCGTACTCGGACCATCCCTGATTATCGGGCCCTCAGTGGTTCCACACCGAAGAAGAGTAACCCCACTCACTCCCAAGTCGTCTCTGACTCCAGAACCGCCCCAGTAGAAGCGAGGACAGTTCCAGGTCCTTCCACGAATATTACCCCAGTAACTCCCCCGATCTTTGCGAATATATCTCAACTTCATGATGCAGCGAAACGACTTCCATCCTCCACCCCTGGAGGGAGTCCAGGTTCAGTTTTTGGACAATACAGCATCACGTCGATCATGCATGCCTTATCATTATATGCAACACCTGCGGATGCATGGGAGGGGGAAATTAATCCATGGCTTGACCAGCACTTCGGAGTTTGGGCTATGGGATGGCCGGGGGCTATTCAGAAGTTGGTGAATCAGATTTCAGTTGGTCCTCACGGCCTCGATGGCTTTATAGAAATTCTCCAGTGGCTAGTAGGCAATGGCTACACTGTGGACGCCATGCTTGGGGGGAAGGTGGATAACATAATTCATGCCATTGACTTCGTGTATGTATTCCAATTCTTACTATATAGCTCATTGATAATTGAAATCGTGTTTGAATGCAGTGTTGGATCATCTTCACGCCCCGCATCCCCTTCTCGCACTTCCATGGCAAATTCCAGTCATGATGTGAGACCTGGAGTCAGTGCGGTGGAACGGCATTCCGAAATCATGGCACCTTCGCAGCATCCCAATGCCAGTCCTCCAAGATCTAAAGCCCATGCTGCGGAACCTCTACTTGATAATCTCTCCCTGCACTTCGTGTCAGTCCTCCCGGCAAACACTGCCATGCCCACTGCTCCTAAGAGAGGTGTGAAGCCTAGAGTCAATGCAGCGAAACAGCATGTCGGTATCATGGCACCATCGCAAAGTCCCATTGCCAGCCTTCCAGCATCTGCCCCCACAGACATCCTATTTCATGACCTCTCTCCACGCTCCAGGCCTGCTAGCCAGTCAAGCCACGTGGCACCTACCAGTTCAACTGCTCCAAAGAGGGGCATCTCACCTGAACAGGACAGTCACATGTTGGTTAAGGAACCGGCTAAGAAGAAGCACAGAGGTGGCAAGTTGAGCAAGGGAAAGATCAAGGAGTTGGCATTGAAGAAGAAAGAGTTCCTACAGTATTTGGAGGAAAAGGGCGATGAATGGGGGGTTTCTTCTGCATTTCTGCTGTGCAGCATGAATCTCAGCGAGAGTCTTCAACCTTCGAAAACCACCATTGCTTGGAATAAGTTCCAGCACGACTTCGCCCAGGACTGTGAGGGGGATTATTCTGCCATGAAGGTGTCAGCCATGTTCAATGAACTTTGTGATGAGCATGGCGGTGAAGGAGCAGAGCTGGATCACCTTATGTAACCAGTTTCCTACGTCCAATAACGATATTAGAGTTTGTGCTGATTTGCGTACTGACCATGTTTTGGTTGCCAAATATATGATTGTTCACTGTCTAAACAACAATAAACACCCCCAACGATCTCACCTGACGTATAGATCATCTACGGATAAAATTTTATATTGACTTTACTATGATTTCTAGTCAATATTACACCTAGATATACCACTTTTCAGTAGGACATGATTTTCCTGATAATTTACTGAAGGAAAACTACTAATAAAATAATTCCGCAATAAATGTTACTCAATACAGGAGTGACCAAACTGCTCTTTCTATCGCTTATAGTGCATGCTAGTTATCTAGCAGGTTCAGGATCGCTCACTTTTCTCCTGTGGTGTGATAACCAGGTATTGCTGAGAGATTATTCAATTAAGAAGTCCCTCCACTAAATTCTCACTAATTCTCACTATGACACTTTTGTTCAGCTGTGTCTAACTGACCCTAACTCATGCTTAGAGCGATGTGTTAGTTTTATATTAGCTAACAACTAATATTTGCTTTTATCTTTTGGAGCAAATGAACCAACCACTGGTGAGGAGAATTAAACTTTTATTTCTACCTGAGGTTTGAGAGGGGGCAGAAGCGGCGGCCTTTTATGCTTTTCAGAGACCTCTTTACTCCCACGCCTCGCACTAGTTACATGTGCTACATTTGTATTATAGATAGTTCTAGAATGATATAGGGGCTTGGGCTGTGTAAGCTTAATAATGGACTTAGGACATGACTCAGCAATAAGTAATTCATTTCTTTGTCTTTTGGGCCGATCTTAGCGGGATCTTGTAGCGCTGAAGCTATGCTCTACACCGCCTTAATTACGAACGGTTATCTTTAGAAATGACTTGGCTATAAAGGAACTTTCTAGACTGTTCTCTAATTGACCCCTTTTTTGTGAAGCCACATCATTACTAATGTTCTAGAGCCTTCCCAATTAATTAACTGATCCGCGGACTTCTGAATCACTTCATGCTTATGATCCGAGATCCAGATCATCAATCATTCCTTTGTTCCGATTTATTTGAGCTTAAAATCAAAAAGTTTTGATGAATCATGGGAAAATATACAAGATCCGGTTTTTTAGCATTTTCTCCTCTTCTGATGCGATCAAAAACTGTCCGCCCGCGCCGGGGAATACTCTGTCATATGGTATTTGGTCCGCCAGACTTCCGGGCACCAATATATTTCCCTTGAGTCTCATTACTTTTTGTAAGAATTAGCAAATAAATATATATGAATTATAAGGTGGTTCGCCGTTTGAGCGATATCTCCGTCAGTTTTGAAGCTTTTAGAATAAAACAAAACCGTGGATAAAGTTAAGAAACAGTCCTTTCAGATGGTAAAAATATTACAGTCAAAAGTTTACTGGTTCCCGAGATATTTACATTTCTTTCCCAATGTTCCTTCTTATTCTGCCGTCTATGTGCTATTTTCTTGTTGTAGGGATATATTCTTTGAATATTACACCTATGCCAAGTTCTAGGCATGATTGTAGTAGATTAAATCTCATACTACATGGGTGTAGATAATTTATAATGATCTAATGTCTGTCCAGTCTCATAAAGATCATGAGATCTGTTAAACGTCTGAACTTGTCACCTGTTCGTTGACTATTCTGATAGATCATTGTTTTATTCTTTGAATATTATTTCTCCTACAGCGGTGAAGGCTCGGAGGACTGGAAGGATCACTGCAAGAAGATGGCGGCACAGTTCAACACGGAGAAGCAAGAGGCGATCAAAGACATGGCTCTTGTTGATAACAATCAAGCAGTTGCCATGAAACGGCTTGAGGGAGAACTCAGGGGCACCATTGACCTCGCTCAACATGCAGGCATTTTTTGTTTTGTGGGTATGGTGTCTGGAGAACCGTCAAATGTTGCTGCACATGGAAGGAATATCATCCTTTTCAATGACTCCATCGTGCAAAACTTCCTTCATGACCATTGCAAGCTGAAGCAGCTGGAAAGTGATTTCTATTCATATGTTCTCACCCATCGGGGTCAAGGAGATGCAGTCATGAGAGAGAAGCAAGAGCTTTGGAAGCAAAAGCGGAAAATGGAGACTTCAACTCGCGACCATGCTCGCCAAGCATTTGGTCAGACGTTCAAGGGGTGCTTTTCTCCACCGCTTGACTTGATTCCTTGGAAGACCCTCCCACTTATGCTCATCAAGCAGAAGGTGGCTATCCATAACTGTCCCCCGAATATCTTCCTTGATCTCATTCACGAGGGTGGTGACTATGCGAAAGTCGAGCAGTGGCGCATCCTCTATGATGCTGTTGGTGGAGAAGCTCCAGCTGAAAGGTATGCAGAGTATGGGAAGAATCCTTCCCTGAAGCTGGTGGATGTCGTTCCTTGGAGTGCTGAGGATGGAGCTTGCATTCCAAACAGTAAGGACTACAAGGACATTGTCTTGCTTCGAGACAATCAAGGGGCTGGGGGTCATCAGGGTCATGTGTTGTTGACCATACGTGATGTCTCTGGTCTTCTTTCAATGAATGAAGCACCCGGTTTGGCTGATATTCAGCTGACTACATCCATTATGGCTGTTCAAAATCCATGCTCCCTGCCGGCAACACTGAATGTGTCTCCCTCTCACTTTCTGCCTTCGACTGTGACAGGATCGACATCTGGGACTCTGGACCCGATGGCCAATGTACCACCTTTCGTGCTGCCAGCGGAGCCGCTGCCGCTATCTCACTCTTCATCCAGCATGTTTGACTTGCCGCTTTTAAATACGCTGACCTTCGGGACTGGTATTCCAACCTTGACTCACCACCAAACTATAGACATGAGTTTTGATGGTCCGGGGGACTTCACTTGGTCTTAGGGCATAGAGATGTCCCTTTGCCTCCTCATTTGTTCTGTTGTTTGGCTGCTCATTTCTTTACTCGCCCTATTCCTTTACTTTCTACTCACTTTTTACGTTACCTGATTAACACAGTGGGAAGTAACCCTGGCAGATGGTGTAGGGTTGCCCCGGTACCAGTGCGGCTAGGTAGCCCCATTACTATTTGACGGGGCCAACTATCAGATTTCCAATGCCGGGGCCTCCTATCAGATATGCGCAGTCTGACGGGGTCATACTGACGGGGTGCCCTGGAAGTTATTGATAGGTAACCCCGCTTGTTTTAATAGTGAATCATAATATATTCATTTGGCATTGTACTATATAGTAATACATGCATAACTGGTGCTTGTCATTGCGTGTGTCGGAGAAATAGTGCCCCAAGGCTATACTGAGGGTGCGGGATAAACCCCGCGCTTGAACACAGGAGAAAGCCACCCTTGCAGAGATGAGTCTGTGGGGCTGGTGTAGGTCCCAAGAGCAAGTCGGTTTCAAAGATATAATAATCAGTGGGGTAAATGTGGCGGGTAGATCGCAAAGCAAATGATGAGGTGAATGGCAGGGAACACATAGTTTGCTCATCCGTGAAACCCGGCCCACGGGGTTCCAGAACTCCCTGTACCTCACCGAGTAGAAGGAAATGGGAGGGGGAGAAAAGTTAAGAGCATAGTGGTAGGCACACTTTTTGGTCAGGCACCAGCGCGGGCTTTGCAACAGCGCATTGGGCAACGCCATGATAACACATCTGGTTTGCATCCTTTCATGTCGGTTGGCCCAAAATATTGGCATCAATGAGTGAAGAACGCGTGAGAACGCGTTCAATTGCAAGGGGGTCACCAGCGACTATTGGCATGGAAGCACTGGCATGCACGCAACAGAGCATGGGCCCACAGTGTCGGACTCAATAATGGGAGAAACCAAGTAGCAGACACAGATATGGGTCCCACCAAAGGGTGCAATGCAGGCTTGGTCGCCAAGATCGGATGAGCCAATTGCACAAGATCGCTCAACCTGGAGTGGCAATAGAGAGCATTGAAGCACGTATTATGATGCAGAAAACAGCCAAGAAAAACGTGGCTGCGCATATTATGGATATCCAGCGTCGATTCAATGTGTGTAGGAACACAGAGATAAGAGAGATGACGGGTGAGACGAAGTTCCCAAGCAAATGGCAACTCCCGGACCGATAGAAACAGGCAGATTGCATGCAATGCTGGCGTACTTTTGCAGAATTTATTGCCAATAGTTCTCAGGGCGGAGTTGAGACATACATTGCTCAAGGAACCCAAAACCGACATTAGCGCCCCGCGCTTCGACTCTTCCCAATGGTCTCCTCGCTCAACCATCACATGCCTACGGTAGCCCTGGTACTCCACTTGACTGAGCAGCTGCAGCATTTCGAAGAAAGTGATAAGTATTTTAATGATGGTAAAACCCAGTACAATCTGACGGGGAACTTCCGGCACTGGATAATGCTGAAAAGGGAGGATGTGGAACTCAGCGATGATGAGAATTAGGGATTGGAACGCTCTAAGTTTCTTTTGGTATCAATATGTAAGTCGGAATACAGATGCTAGGTAGCCCCGGTACTACACACGACTGAGCATTTCCAAAAAGCTGATAGGGACTCCCGGCATTTTCGATTAGGTGATGGTGCAACCCAGTACGATCTGATGGGGGGACTTCCCACAGTGTTAATCTGTTCACTCTGTTCAACTCCTTTCATTCTTCAATTACATTTACGCTACTTATTTACATGTTAATTGATTCACTGTCTTTTCAGGGCGCCTATTTTGCGTTGCTAAGCCCGCCAAAGAGGTGGTTTTTACCAAGGGGCCCCCACATTGATCTTGGGGCCCCGCTGCCCTATGTGGTGTTTCATGGGGGCCCCTTGGTAAAAACCACCTCTTAGGTAGGCTTAGCAACGCGAAATCGGTACCCTATAGGGCCTCACCCCTGGCTGAGCAAGTTGAGATGATCGGGTGCCACCGGAAGCAAACAGGAGTTCGTTGCGGGGGTGGCGCAAGGATATGATGCAAAGCACTAGCTCCAAAAAACCAACACGATGTCTATGCTTACAAAGATTAGCGCCGCTGATTAACCCTTCGCAACCAACGTCATAACTGTATAAAATAACGAGTGATGTCACAACGCGGCGCGGATTCCCCCTTGTTACTTTTGGCAGTTTTCACGAGATGAAAGAACGTGCGCACGACCTGACACACCATTGACTCTATCATTCCTACAACGCTCCCCTATACCAAGCTAGGCTTCTAGAGCCAGTCAGCTGTCAAAGTCATCATGACCCTAGCTTGGCCCTTACACCCTTTGTTCACCCTATTATGGTTTATCACTTCCCTTCCGCACGCGGCGGCCCCGGGGACATCAGCTGAGATATGCTGCGCAGCACCAGTACTAATCACAGCATGGTAGAATTAAGGGTTGCTCGCGTGACGATTAACCATTCCCCACCCGCGACCCCAGTTGCGTCACAAACATGCTAAGTGCAATATCCAAGCATCACGAGTTAGTTCCCTGAATCCTGAACGTCCTCACGCTACAGCATCATGTGCAATTTCCATTATACTCAAACCCTTGTCAAGTTCACGGGGCTTTCCCAGTTTCCCCGCACTACTTGCTATTCACGTTCCGAACACTCTAGCATGATCACATCAAATATGGTCTACTATAGATCCCTGACCTGACTTTGAGCGGAATTAATGAAGTGGTAACGATGTCTTCCGACTTGATTATTACTTTGCATCCACAACATGTATCGATAGCCGGAAACGATTAAGGAAGGGCGGGGCATCTTCTGATTAGATTTTAAGGGTGGGTATATACGTAGATTACAACAAGTCTATAAACAAATTAAAAGTAGGTGTAAGCTACCAGTGCTGCCCCAAAACAATCTAACCATCCATCTGATCTATCGGTCCATCCAGAATCGAATTCAAACCAATTAGAGAACCTGCTGTACTAAACTGGTTTAAGTGTCAAGTTTCAACACAGAGAAAAAACGTCCCAGGGCCCCCTACGCTCTACTCCATCATGCATGTAACTGACAGACCGGAACAGGAAAACGTTTTGAACGGGGAAGCGGTGTGAGGGCACCTGTGTTCGCGTCCGCGTCCGCGATGCGTGGCGCATCCTGTCGCGCGGACGTCACACAAGCATCATGATGCAGAACCTCGTTGTCAACGCACGGCATCAGCAACAATACCAGCACCATTGCGAATGCCGCACGCGAGCCACTTGTAACATCCAATCTCCGTGTACAACGCGCGAGCGATTAATCCCACGATCCTTGTTGGTCAGACCCAACGAAATAAACACCCTAGTACTATAACGAAACAAGGGTATTACTACGTATGGGAGTAACACGAGGGAGAAAAACGGAGAAATTCCAACGAAAACGTTCGGCCGAGGGGGAAGAACGATCGTGGAAAATTCGTGCGAGAGTTATGTGAGGGCCGAGAAGAGAGTTACGGGTTATGGTTTGTTGACGTTCGAAGCTCGGAGGTTTCGGATCGAGGTTATCGTTACGTTGTTGCCGTGTAGGCATTTGGTAACGGTAATCCACAGGCAAAAGAAAACATGAACATCAGGAAGAGAGTTGGAAAGCAGAAGTCAGAGGGAAAATGATTTGTTCTACACAATGAGAAACGACTTGAACGTCTTTTTTTTCTATTAACTTCCCTTCTACCAACGAAGCAAAGTAGGAGGGGTTCGTTACGCCACTAAATGAGGGAAAACGGGCAAAAACTCTTCACTCCTGCTTCGAAATTAAAGTTCTGCGTGGTGGAGTAATGCTGTTACTGAGATAGGGCTTGAGTGGTCCTCCAAGACGCTCGAGTGTCCTCCATTTTATTAAACGGTAAACGTAATGGGCAAAGGTGTAATATCTAGTACCCGCACTCGTTCAGGTTCTGAGAAACATGAGAAAAGGAACAGAAGGGACGTACGTCCAGTTTTTCCAGGCGAACCAAGGATCGATAGGTTGCAATGTATGGTTCGATTCTAAATCCGACCTCTGTTAGCCCAAAAAATCCCACGGGGAAAGCCCGACGACAGGCACAAACCTTCCATTTCTTTCCTAAACGCCAAATACTCGATGGGCTTGTCCGTCATGACAACATTCACACCCCACCCTGCACTCTCAACCCACTCCTCCTGTCGATTCAACGTCCAAGTATAAACTTCTTTCTTCGCATCCTTGCACTGTCTAAGGAAGGATTGACCGGTGGACGTAGCAAGAATTGGATATGCGATCGAAAATGCGTGGCAGTTATCCCAGAAGGTAGGGTTCGACGCGAGGGTAATCTCTATTCCGATGTAGCATCGCTTCACTGGTTTTGCGAATAAGTTTTCCAAGGGTTCGATGTGAGTGTGAGAAGGAAGGACCAAGGTCAGCATGAGCACGTGGGCGGAATTCTACAATTGAATGTTCCAATTTTGGTACGTACGCTGTGGAAGGTTTCTGACTGCATGTTGCATGAAAGCGGGATGCCAAATACCAAGGACGATGCGTGGGCCGATATTGTGTTCCCAGTCGACATAACGGGAGAAAGTCTTGCGCATGAGAGTGAAAAGCCTCTCTGGCGGATTATTGGCTTTGAGATCAAGCTAAAAAAAAATGTAGTTGAACGCCCAAATAATCATTTTTCCTAAGAAGAAAAACTCACATGCAAAGTAATGTGCCGGTTTTCGGGCTTGACAAGCCACTCGATAGTTTCGTCAAAGGTTGGAAGTTGCTGTTCGGGCAACTTGTTCGTTTTCAGAAACTCAATGTTTCCCTTGTAAGGTTGCGCATTGATACTTCCTTTTCCTCCTTGAGTCGTTCTCCCAAGCTCAGGGTCGTGGAACATCAGGAGGTAATCATCTGATGTGATGTGCACGTCTGTTGTTGTTTGAGACAACCACAAGGGAGAGGGAGCCGGTTCACACCGGAATGGCAAGACGGAACAAGCGGGTAGTTAGGGCCGGGTGTAAGAAAAAATTCTCAAGGCAATGTTTCAGATACGCACCAGTCTCAATGCCGTCCGCGCCCTAGTATGCGTAGGATCTGTTGAGAAAGAGAGGAGGAAGAGAATATATCGAGCATACCGCTCGGGCAGCAGATTCGAACGATGCCAGAGTATTCTCGGGGAAATCGGCCTTTATCGTACGAAAACGGAGATGACGTCGGGATTTGGCGGTTACAGTGAGTGATGTGAAGGACATCAGAGACACAATTTGAACGAATTGCGACGCGTAGCAGGAAGTAAAAAGAATGCCACCAGCAGTTAGCAAAAACCCTTTAACGGTGAAGGAAAAGTTAAAAGGCGAGGAACACGTACGCTCGCGCCTCTATGGCCCCAGCAGAGTGGAAGTTTGGGCTGTGCGACGACCATGTTTACGTTTCGATGGGGTGTGAATGCTGATGCACGACGAGGAAGATAATAATGGAGAAAGAGATTCTGGAAAGTGAGAAGGGGGAGAAAAAGGCTAGGAGTGAGAGGAATATAAGGAAAATGGGTGCGTGCCAAAGAAATCATTTATGTAGTCATCATAAACTGAAGGTGGATGATCGGCTTTATATATACATACTGGAGTTGGCCGAATACATTGTGTCCATCGATGATTGATGATGCTTTGGCGCAAGGGCGGCTTGTGAATATATGGGGCGGCAACAAGCACATGCGGGAGTCGCCCGAGGAATATAAATTCCACTAGTTTTGCACAGCAATGGACCTAAGCGCCCCCTTACGAGTGAAGATTGCAAGCGAGGGCTTGCGCAAGTTGTCGGGCAAGGTTGTGAAACACATGGCAGCCATTAGGCAGGTTACCAGCCTCTATTAGTATAGAGGCCTATTACGGCCATCCTCGTGATCTGGCGCAGCGTCTAATTAAATTGATTAAATTACCAAAATATTTACGTTGCAATGACCGTCAAAGATTCCAGGCCCGTTCACAGTGCTCAAGCCTTTTGTCCGGAACCCCGCTTTATAGCCCGGCAAAATACCCGCTTACCCCCTCAAACGACCACGCGGTTGTGCCCACAGCCTCGGCAAACCCAACATACGAATCAGGCCGAAGAATGACGACCAACCCCTCTTTACCTTCGGCACCTATCTCGTCTAGCCCCATCGCGTCAGCATAAAGCGCCCGTCCGGACACTGCGCCTATCTTGGAGTCAGGTATTGGCGTATCGACATAATGGACGATTGGCAATGAATCTGCCCCGGTGGCGGCGGTATCGAATGGGCGTTGAGGGATGGAAGGTGATGAGGAATGTATGATGCGTATCCTCACTATGGGCTTGAGCGGTCCCGGAATCACCTCCATCAGGGATGAAATAATGCGCGTCGCGCCAACAATTTCGGATGAAGGGAAGAACACAAGGATATCAAATCTCCCGTCGTAATCTAATTCAGTATACAATCTCGTTGGCTTGCTGTCAACAGTGAGTGGCGTAAGGTGGAAGTCGAATCCGCGGTAGCCAACCAGAGGGGCACCATACTCTGGCGAGATGAATGCGCTGGATGCCAGGGCAGCGGTCTGGTCTGCATAGGAAATCCCCATCCCTGTGATAAAAAGTAAGCAACAGGGTTTATCAATTTAGTTCCATGGACTCATTGCAAACCTGTGATGAATCTCGAATTTAGTTTGACAAGTCCAACGTAGTAGTTTGAATGATCCCATGACTGGCCCGGCAGCTGTTCTTCGTCGGGTGTGACATCACGTTGGGCCCCAATAACCAGCTGTCTCTGTTGCGAATATTTGGTGGCCCTCACGAGAGCTCCGGCGGTCTCAATCACAGTTTTGGCAACGGGTCGGCGTTCATTCTCGTAAGACTTGAGAACATTTTCGGAACCGGCACGCTTCGCATGCAAATTGATTTTCCATATGAGATTGAACGCGTCGGAAAGACCAGTATTAAGTCCCTGACCACCATTAACACTGCAGGAACGGAATGAGTTCAACGGAGAAAGAAGCAATCCGTGACCCACGAATGGACGTGACATGCATCGCCAGCGAGAAAGACCCTTTGGCGGATCGAGAACTTCGACGCTAGGCGCTCGCGAACTGGAAGCGAGCGCTCAGTGTACAGCCTCCGAAATATATTTACTGTAACTCACCAGTGAACTGACTGTTCCACTCCAGATCCACGAACTTGAAAGGATGAGGCGCCACGGCTCTCCGGATCTTCTCGATTGCCTCCTCGACTTCAAACACCTTGCGATCCATTCGCACATAGTACCTATCAATCTTGCCCTCGCGAGGTATTCTCGCTACGTCGCTTGTATCCACTTGGAAGTTGATAATTTCTGATTCACGAGGGAACGTTGTATCGACTTCGCCATCGAGAACGGCCCACGTCATCTCGGTGTCATCACCGATAGGCTCGAAGATAAAATGCTCAGGGAAAGACTTGCGAACCAGGGAATGGGATCCATCTGCTCCGATGAGATACTTTGCTCGTACCAAGGACTGTTGGTGTAGATTCGGCGCAATGCGAGCGGCCATGTAAATGAAATTATAAACCGGAACGCATGGAGCTGCTGCCACCGACCTCTATTCCTGTTTTTGACAGAAGTTTGGCCCATGTTAGTCGAGCGCTTGGACCGTCATCAAGCCCCACTTCAAGCACGGTGACGCCACGCTCAACGGGTCTCCCAACTGCTGTGAGATTCCTGTCAAGAATTTCCTCGAGGTAAGGTTGACCAAGCATGAGAAAGTGCTAAAATGGCCCAAGTCTGAATTTGAATTAGACGAAACATCAAATACAGGCAGCTCACTTTGTGCTCAGACCCTCGAAGCGCTTTCCACCATGCATTCTGCCTAGAAGTAAATTCGCCATTCTTCCACGTGGAGCTCGCTGATTACACAACAAGGCAATAGAGGGAATTGAGGATCGACATACGGCAAGCTAACCGGCAGGACAACCTACTGCTACAGTGGAGACCCTTGGCGTGCAATTCCTCGAATATGCTATAACCAAGCAGTTCAAGTAGTTGCAAAGTCCGAGCATTCATAGCATCCGCTCGACCCAATTTGAGAGGGCCATCAGACTTGTCTGTGTGTTGTTGCGGATGATTATTAGCGAAACGGTATTGAGATAGTTGCGCTCACCGACTATTACGCAAGCCAAGCCAACCTTGTGAGCAAGGAGAGCAGATGCCAGGCCAACGGGGCCAGCTTGAGGGAAAAAGACGTTACTCCTTGAACCGGTCAGAGGGATAGCAATACAAACCTCCAATAACAAGAACATCTACCTCAATAACGGTAGTCCGTGAATGGCGGTTAAGGTCAATCATCCTTCTCGTCCGGGCCCTCGAGCATCCGAGCTCATGTCTTATAACTCTGAATGTTCACGATAAATTGTACGAGAAATTCAATCCTTGGACGATGCTGAAAGCTGAGCTATCGACATGCACTGAAAGGACACTTAATGATTCGGAAGAGTATGAGTCCTAATGACAGGAGCTCGAGATCCAGCCGGAGCGGGTCTTCGGATTATTATGAATAACCCTGATGATTCATGATAGCAGTGAGGGGCTTTCGGAAAGCACGGACCATTGCGCATGCAGTCAGGATGCAGTTGGATAGTGAACTGTGAGTAGAACGAGCGCTTGAGTCCGTACACTGATGGTTAGGTGCGAAGGACATGGAGTGCGACGGGAAATCAGCCGTTTGGTCACTCCGAGTGTGTGTGACGTCGCGGGCAGCCAGATGCCGAGTGGGAGCGCTTGGGCATGAAGCAGTAATGGATTGGCAAGAAGCAAATTCATATGCTATACATGAGCATGGTTCTCGTCCTTGATGGACGGACGCGCCTAAAGAGAGGCTGGTCACCTGCCTAGGACGGACGCGCCTAGCGGGGGCGGGATCGACTTTACAGCGAAGAACTCACAACACATCATATTCATTTTGCTTGAGATGTCGAAAAGAAGCTCCGCACCCATTCAGTTCGGCCAACTCCGACCGAGTGTCAAATTCACGCTCACTCTTTTGGAAAGTGATCCCAAGCACTGAAGGCCCTCCACTATTCAGGTTACAGGCTCCTGCCCCGGTTGCCCCCTTTGCTATTCATGTACTCTGACCCTATCCTCCAATCTTGACTCTGCCAGCGCACTGCCACGCCACACAAAACAGCTGATGCCCATACAATGGGCTAAGTAATCCATATTGCGATTGCACCAGCTGGCTCCCTTTCGGATAATGACACTTTGCTCCGGTTCCCTCTGCCTCTGTGATGAATGAGGACACAAAACATGATAACCCAGGAATTTTAACGTTTGTCCAAGCCACGGCTAGAGTGAATATGTATCCCTCTTGACCAAGCGTCTGGCGTTTGTTATAATAGGAGAGCTATCGGCGTCCATTGGATGGAAATAAACCAATTGCACTTCAATCGAAAAAGGTGGGAGAGCAGGTCGTCGCCGTGATAAACGGTGTTACCGTCACTTTTCCAAATTAAGTAGTCAACGTCTGGCTTCATCTCCATGTTCCAGTCAAATCCCGAATCATGTTTGGCCCCGTTTCCTTACGAGCTAAATGGATCATACAATGAGACGAACATGTATCAAAGCGGCTCTCCCTGATGAGATGGTCCGCTCAAGTGCCAAACGGAAAAGTATTATTTCCTGACTAGTATATATCCCTCGTCGAAGGGATTGGATTTGGGGCACTATAGGATATTCCCCAATGATTCCATCCACCGTTACATCCCACTCGGCTACCCTCAATGTTCCACCCAAACCAAGCATCCCACTTGCAGCTCAAGTTTCTAAGAAACTCTTAGCTCCCTCCGCACCCCGTCCTCAAACCACTCCCCAACTTGTGGATGCACTTGTCGCTAGAATTGTTGATTACATGCTCTTCAGCAAGGATGATCTGTTCGAAACTTCTGGGCGAGCGTTTCTTACGGAACGAGTCCGTTGGCATGTGGATCGTAACATTCAGATTCAGCTGGCCTTGCCTGCGTTTCCATTCAAAAGCCCCAGCAAGGATAAAGTCCTTGGTACTCTTCCTGATATGGCAGAAGAGATCGTTCTCCGCAGGTGAGTAGCATTTATTCAATAAGCTCTGAGTGCCCGTTTGGCTAATTTGGAGCCTCCAGATTGGAAGACCTTTGCCGATCGCTTGAAGATCTATATCCACCTGGTGCACAGCTCCACATCGTATCGGACGGCATTGTATATGGAGGTGCGTAAGATGTTCTTCCACACTTCGGGTTCTTGTGGATTTGTGGACCTTTGCTGAGGGTACCCATCTGCATTTCCCCGTTCTGCAGAACTCCTAAGGGTCCCAGAAACGACTGTCTATCAATATAATGCTGCGCTACGTTCGCTTGTCTCTTCTCTTGCTCTCACGCACATCTCCTTCGTCCGTGTGCGCGATCTACTTCAAGAGGGTTTCAATGCAACTACATATTCTCGCCATGACATTCCCGAGGAGGAGTACGTCCTCTCTTCTCGCGCAACCCGCGAGGCTTTCCTCGCAACCGAAATCGGCAGTTATGACGTCCAGAAACAGATTAGCAATGATGAAGGCGCGTTAAGGACCTATCGAGGATACTTAAAATTTCTGAAGGCGGATTTGAGTGGGGTTCATTTGCATTGCGATAAGGCTGACTGCAAAAAGACCCTCTCTAAGCGAGGGCAGGAGTGTGCAATCAGTGCCATCGCTAAGGCAATGATGCGGAATGGCGCCGTAAGTCGCATTGCTTATGTGTTTGTGCCGCCTTTCTGATTCTACATAACACAGCTGTTTTCCGCTATTGTTGCGAAGGCTTTCCCCGATGCCGTTCGACTCAGCATTCATCCTCACCAAAATGCTGGTCCTAAGTTCGCCCTCAAAGTTTTCCCGAATGTTGATCTCGTTTGCACTCCGGTAAATCATTATGTTCCACCTTCTGTCCGCGTGCGCGCTCACCTCATACCTTGTAGTGGCACAATGTTGTGGTCGAAAACGCAGATGGCTCCATCACTATTGCGCATCGGCACACAGTCGATACTTCAAAGTGTGCTCTTATCTACCGGCATGGTCGCCCCTATCATTTCCGTGAGATTGACGATGACATGGACTGGGGGAGTTCGAATATTTCTTTCGAAAAGCTGCATCCATTTGGGATGAAGGTCATTGCGACTGAAGTTGATGGAAAGAAGTGGCGATGGAAAGACGTCCCCATGGCCAAAGTCAGGAGGCTTACAGGGAAGCATTCACTTTTGATATTCAAGGGTTTTGAGGGCGTTGATAAAACCGACTACACTGTGAAAGCGAGGGAGATGGGGGAGATAGCGTGAGTCGTTCTCGTTTTGCTTATCTTGGCTGCTGAGTTATATCTCAATTTTTTTCAAGGCCCTGGGTTTTTGGCGAAGTTCTCGAAGTGAAGGAAAATCCTAATTTCGATTTGAACAACGGTATCATCGTGTGATCTTCGCTTTTGAGGGACAATGCATAATGATCATTTCTAGTTCTCACATCGGAGGCGATGCCAATGCATTTTGACGGCATTTTCAAGACGAAGCGGCTTGCTGATGGAACTGTTGTTCCGGATCCTCCAACCTTCCAAATGTTCCAATGTCTCGAGGCACCCCTATCATACACTGGGGCCAAGGACTCACCCTTGGATATTGGTGGCCGCACCCTGTTCGCTAATACGGCGAACATCTTTGCCGAATCACTTTCCCACTCACCATATGCAGCTGATGTGAAGAGCCGTATGTGGACCATATTTACGCCTCCCAATAAGAATTATGGTGGAGACGAGATCAAGGTGCCATTGCTGCAGAAAAACCCCTTGACGGGTCATCAGGTCTTGTCGTGGCATGAACCATGGCGAGTATATCTTATTAGCGTCACTCTTCACCTCGCAGTTTGTTGATTCCCTTCATGTTGCCTTTCCGCAGGCCCCAAGAGATCACTGCCTTCAAGCTGGCGGCTGTGAACATCATTGGTGTATCACCCGAGCGCTCCACGGAAATTAGCAACCGTGTCACTGAGCTGTTATATGACCGCCGATATTGCTACGAGCATACGTGGGAGCGAGGCGATTTTCTAATTGCTGACAATGTTGAGGTGCGGAAGGGATGGTTTGTCCTGATGCTGGTGGGGACTGACCATCTTCTCTTCCTTCACAGCTGATACACGCTCGCACTGCTTTCAAGCCTGGCAAGCGAGAGCTATGGAGAATCCATGTTAATTAATTGTTAACTTCCTAGACCCAAATGGAAATTTACCACCCTACGAGCAATAGATTGTGTTTTCCATTGCTGTATGTAACCCCCAGGTGAATTGAATTTGGTTTGTCCCGGAATCACGTGGTACATGTATCTTTCGGGAAACGGAGTTAGCTGAAGATATTGAACCCTAATCGTTTGCTCACTTCATTCTGATTCTATCTCTACCTGGACTTCTACTCAGTCCTTTGCGATAACCCTGAATTTCATCTAGCTGAGCAATGCTTGCGACTCTGTAAGCAACATCATGGGGTAACGAACTAGCAACGAACTGTGTCCTCTTGTGGACACTGGAGAACGCATCAACAAGCAGTGATGGTGCCTCTCAGTAGGGCCGGATCAAGTACCAAGCACAGCAGGGAGTTAGCCTGAAGAGAGATTGGTACCAGCAAGTGGCAACCCACCGGTGTCATGTTTTTTTCATACATCAGAACAGGCACAGAGCTAAACGCTCAGCATTGGTTTGCCTTCCAATAGAGGTGTTGTAAATCTGGAGTTCCATATATGGCAACCCGCTTTAGCAGTTCACTCGCAACCCAGATGTAATATAGAAATGAGAAGAGAAACTGTAACTAACTAAAGAACATACGGTGCCAAAGCACCCATATTTATACTCCTGAATAACATTCCAGGCTCTTCTATGCCCAGCGCTTACACAGGTGCCTAGTAACTGTGAAAATACTAGCGTAGTTTAACTCAGTCTCAAGCTGAATAGCATGGAGAACTAGTTAACATTACCTAGTGTAGTTTAACTAAAGATAATACACATTTAGATATGAAGGGAAATTAGAATGAAAGAAAGTACTGACCTCAGTCTCAAGCTGAATAGCGTGGAGAACTGAGGAAAAAGGAAATGAATAGAAAGAGCGGGTATGTCCGTATAGTCGGTAGCGGATAATTCCGCGATAATAGAAAGGGAAAAGTATTCATTTACAGGTCAGGTGAAAATCACCTGGTCAGAAACCTCCAGAACGCGCACTGCACTCCAACAGTAACCCCTAGAATATTCTCGGATATTCCGGTTCAATCTAATCATGTGACTCATATTCCAACAAGAGGACCTGCCTTCACTTCTCATGGCTTAACGTGAAACTTGAGGAAATTCTGTAGCACAGTGCATGGGACGGTGCAAACATCAGTTACTTTTGAGCCACCTCTTAAAAAAAGAGTCTCGAATTGAACAGGTGGCTCACGATTAGGACAGACCCCTGGTCTTATCATTCCTTCGCATCAATGGATATATCAGCTCTCGAAGCATGAGGTGAGAGTGTATCACAATTCTCCATAACAATAGCCTATTGCTTATATTCACATTTTCATGCACCCTAGCATGGCTGGAGGCACGAATATTCACGCGATTTATGTAGTCTCTTAGAGACTCCATTTCCATGCTTTCAGTTATTAGTGATCTGTTCGCCCTTGGGCCATCTTGCTCTGTTTCCATTGCGCCCGCATCAAAAAGATGAACATGATGCAAATGTAAAATCCTCAACTTGAGCATTACGAATGACTGTGATGGATTCTGACGACCAGTGGGGAAGCGAACATGCTTAATGAAGAGTCGGCACCGATAATATCACCAGTTTCTGGGGAATTCCTCCAATCATCACTCACTGCGTTTAAGCCAAAATTTCCACTGTGGAAATGGTGGGGATAACCGGATTTCCACACAATTTCCCACAGTGGATATTGGTTCTGTCTGCTGGCAGATTGAGCGTCACTTTACCATGGTTGGGGCCAGGAAATGATGGGGATTTGGTGGTGGCTGATAATCTACTATATTGATTTCTTGTCCAATCCACGTCTGGAAAGCTGTCAGGGCTCGGTCCTCGATCAGGGACAGCCTGACCTCAAGCCTAGGTGTGTGCAGTGTTCCGGGTGGTTAGGCACTAGACCCTGTCCTCAGCTCCTCAAACTCACTGAAGGGACTAAGCGGGGATTGAGTTGTCATGTATTACAGAGGGTAACTACAACTTGCCTAAGCGGGGATTGAGTTGAGAAGAAGGGTAAGTTTCCCTATTCCCCGCTTGGCTACTATAAAAGGGAAGTGTACTGTACAGTTCATAACGTGACTCCGGGTAGAAGCCGAGCATGTTCCCACGACTCAGAAAAGGTGTCACATGGGTTAAGGCGAGTTGCTCACCTTGACCCACGTGATTTTTCCTGCAGGCTCACATGTGGGCTGAAGTTGTGAGAGATATGTAGGGATGGGGAGGTCAGGGAAGTGGGGGAAGTCTGGGAAGGTGGTTCTGGGGTGTGGTTGGGTGCAGGGTCAGGGGCCGATCCCTGACATCACCCCCCCTCTATGCCACTTCGCCTCGAAGTGGCTGTGGTCCGTGGTTGGGGGGTTTCCTTTATCCTCCTTGGTCTGGGGGCTGTCAGGGCATACACCCTGACCTAGCCCATACCGCATCCACACCCGCACTCACACCCGCACCCGTGACTGCACCCGGCTGTTGCACTCCCCACGCGCGCCCTGTGCCGGATGCTCAGTGCGGCCGGATGGCCCGGACCTCGGGTCTCGGGTCTCATGTGACTTCCGGATATCTCCGGAAGTTTTCGATGTATTGTGGCCACTGTGGGAAGATGAGAAGTTAACTTCCTTCTCATCTCTGACCCACAGTAGGTTGTGCCCTGGACAGGGCTGGTTACACCTGGGACTGTGGACCATAGGGAGGGTCATGGGACCCGGGAGTCATCCCCTGACAGGGGCTTCCGGGTGGGCCTGGTGGAATTCTTTCAGGAGGTCTGGGGAGTTCTCCAGGTTCTCTCTGGGGAGCCATTCATTTTCTGAGTTTGGCCAGCCAGAGAATTTGACGAAGTACCAGAGCCATCCATACCGGTACCTGGAATCCAGGATTTTCTCCACTTCATACTCCTCTTCTCCATTCACGATGTCCAGGCCAGGGAGCGGGTCTGCATGGCGTTCAGAGATTCTGGGGCGTAGGGGCAGGTGTTTGAGACCGAGACTACTGGGTGAATTCCTCTTTGATGGGCCGTAAGCTGTAGCTTTACTGCTGCTGGGGATACCACCTTGACAATCTGGAAGGTGTCATATCCACCCCCAGCCATCGACTTCCGGTCCCTCTGATCCCTCCGGTCTACCTCCGCTCCTCCTTCACTAACCTCGGAGCTCCCGTATTCCGCAATCCCCTCGGTACCCCTCGATGGTCACCACCCCCTCCTTTCAATTTATTACCTACGCCTCCCTAAGTACGGAGCCCCGAAGAATTCCGGACAGCTCCGACGTCCACTAGCGCACTCCTGCCTCCGTTGGGCAATACACTCGCCTGCCCTGCAGAGCCTGCCTTTGGGCCTATCCCTCCTTTCCGTTTCTGGGTTATCGCCTGCCTTTCCGTTAACCCCGTAACCCGACTTGTCGGTAATATTCAGTCGGCTAATGTTTAACCCCGTTAGCTCCGCTCCGTTCGGCTCCACCATTTGCGGACCCATCTTCGCTGTAACCATATATATATCCAACTTGTACATAGGTTACACTTCAGTAATAAAATCGACTAGAGTTTACCCTCTTCAGTTCTGGTGGCCAGTTAGTAAGTTAGGGCACGGACGTGTTTACTAGGCACAGCGCTCCTGGCATAAGTCGCTGAGGCCGAAGCCCTCCGTCACAGAGACACTCTTTCGTCTCGACCTGGTCTCTGACAGAAGGGGCCAATCCATCTGTGGTCAAGCTTCTTGGTTGGTCTGTCTGTCGTGTAGTTTTGAGTGTTGAGCCAGACTTTGTCCCCAACTTGGTAGACTGGTGCTGCCTTCCGGTTCCTGTCATAGTACCGTGCCATCTCTTCTGCTGCGTGCTCTAGTGCTGCCTTTGCCTCCTCTTGCATCTTCATCATCCGAGAGGCAAAGTCATTAGCCCCTTCGACTTCAGACATGCGGGTCGGTTCAGTCCCCATGCGTGGGTGTTGCCCGGAGTCAAGCTCAAAGGGGGTGCAGTGGGTGGAAGAGTGGATGCGGTTGTTATAGGTGAACTCGGCAAGCGGCAGCCAGTCAGCCCAGTCATCTTGCCTGTGGTTGACGAACACCCGGAGGTAGGTTTCTATTTCCTGGTTGACATGCTCCGTCTGGCCATCAGTCTGTGGGTGGTAGGCTGTTGAAGGGGTGAGCTTGATCCCTAAGAGGTCTGCTAGCTCCCTGGAGAAGCGGGAGACAAATGCGCTGCCTCGGTCGCTGAGCACTTCCTCTGGGAGGCCATGATGCCTCCAGACATGTTCGAGGAAGAGCCAGGCCACGCCTGCTGAGTCTACCGTAGTGACTGTGGGGATTGCGTGAATGCGCTTTGAAAGTCGGTCTACCAGTACCAGGATTGCGTTGTACCCCTTGGAGTCTGGGAGTTCCCCAATGGTGTCTACTGAAATCACCTGCCACCTGCAGGTGGGGACCTTGTTCAGGATGAGCTTCCTGACTTTCCGAGATGGGAATGTCTTCACTCTGTTGCAGGTGTCGCACCCTGAGACGTACTGTGCAACATACTGTGCCATCCGGGGCCACCAGTAGTTTCGGGAGACGAGCTCCACAGTCTTCCACCGCCCAGGGTGGCCTGTTGCCACTGAGTCATGGTGGAGTTGTACCAGGTCATGGCGGAGCTGTGGGTCTTTCAGGACGTACACCCGGCCCCAGTGGAGGATCAGTTCCCCTTCCTTCTCCCATTCATCCGAGTGTAGGGTCCCCCTTTCCAGCTCTCTCATTGCCTTTACCACTCCCTCATCATGCTCCTTCCCCCTGCATATCCTGTCCAGGATGTCTGCCTCTTCTCCCTCCACTGTGACCCCCTCCATAGCTCTGACTTCAAACCAGCCCGGGTGTAGGAGGGTCATGTCCATGTTGTCGTCCTCCCCTTTCGGGTGGTCCGGCCGACATGAGAGGGCATTGGGCTTCCCCATGAGTTTCCCTGGTTTATGGACTAGCAGGAAGTGGAAGTGGGAGAGGTAGAGGGACCACTGTGCCTGACG